CCCGGGAAGCCAGCGGCCTCCTGATGTCGCGGGCTATTTCTGGGTGTGGAGGGGGAGGGGACCGGTAAGAGGGACAGGGAACTGGGACGCTGCACCCAGGAAGCCGGTTAGCGATTCTTTTCAACCACCATTTCCCTATAAGAAGGAACCTAGCTTCTTCTGGAACCTTTCCTCCCCTAGCCTTGAAATTGCCGGCTTGCAACTAAGAACTGGCTAACTGATCCCAAGCGGCGCCCCCCTCCCCCGGCCCCCGCCGCCCTCCCGTGTGTGGGAGGGAACCCGGTCCTGATGCAGCCACGATGATCCACGAGCTGCAAGGTCCTGACGAAGGTGATTCCGGCTGCCCCGACTGGAGAGGGATGGAAGCGGGTGCGATCCCCCGGGAAGGTCCTGGCCCAGACCGCCGCGCCGGGGACACATCCCAGCACCCCAGATGCCGAGCTGGCGAGGGGTGCGAGTCCCGTGCTGCTCGGGATGCCCCAGGGAGGGGGGCGCTCACTCGGCGTAGCCCGTGCTCCAAGGCAGGCGGCGACCTGTGTCCGGGGGGCTCTGCACCACCCGGCCCGCGTGGTCGTCGGCGCGTCGCAGCCCCCGCGGACTCAGCTGCAGAAAGGTCGGTCTGGAGAAACTCGCGCGAGCCTCCGGGGTCTTCGCTGGCGCCCCGCTGCCGCTGCCGCTCGCGGTCCCGGGCTTGGCAGGCGGGCTCTTGGGCGCTCCTGGAGCGGCTGCCTGCGACTCGGAGGTTGCACTGGGCGAGTCCGGGGACTTGGGGCGCGGAGGCGCTGCGCCTCCGGAGCTCACCAGGTGCGCCACGGCCGAGCGCACTCGGTTTAGCATGCTGCCTCCCTGCCCCGCCCTCCGCGTGGCCCCCGCCCTCCGCGTGGCCCCGCCCCGCCCAGGCCCCGCCCCTAGGGCTCCGAGTGGGCGGAGCTCCGTGGGGGGTGGGGGAACTTTCACTGGCTCTGGGCCACCCCGGGAACCGCCCCGCTGGTTCTGAGCCTCTGCCCCACCCTCTCCCGCCTGTGTCGCACCCTGGTTTCTCAAAGGAATAATCGGGGTCTGTTGTGGGAAGTGGGTGGAGGCAGGGAAACAGTATTGCAGTCCGGTTGAGTGAGACATCAGTAGACTTTTCCAATTGTGACGGGGGTGGTCCCTCCCTTGGGGGACCGGTGTGCAAGGAGCCGATGACCTCAGCACAAAACAGCCACTTCAGGGCCCCTGGGTGTGAAGCACCTGGTGTGACTCCATCTCTGGTTGAAGTCGCCCAGATCAGCGACGTCCGTGAGCTGGTGCTTCACCCAGGGATGAGTGGATGCCACTCTGGGCGCAGCCCATCTTTCTGGATCGGGCTGCTGGGGTAAATTCCTAGGCTCTTGAAAGCCGCGTTCTCTCTGAAGGCCATCTTCACATCCGGGAGAGTAGTTGCCACTCCCACCCCGCTTTCTTTGCCAGAATCTTTTCCTTCATAGTTAGACTTCCTTGTCTATTATTTTGTGGTAAAGAGAACAAAATCACGATTTATTGAGGACTTACTGCACACTAGGCCTTACACAACAAATACGTTCCACTGCACACTAACCCATTGTATGAATGAGGCTGGACGGGACGCCTCTGTCATTTTATGTGACTTACCCTAAGAAATCATACAGCCACTTGGAAATTCATGCTCTGTCTGCCACCTGATACCCAAACAAGGTTCTGACCTAAGAACCAAGTGATTTCTTTGGACGGAAGAGGAAGTGTTAGGAAGGAGAGGATGGCCGGAAGGGTTCATGCTCTCTCAAGCCACTTGAAGATTGAGAGTAGATTCCAGATGTTGAGCAAGTTCTCTGGCTGACACCAGGGGGAGACAGAGGCCAAACTAAACACTTGACAAAAGTGGAAAAGCCCACTCCTTGGAAGACTATAGGAGGGTGGTACACAGCTGAGACATGAAAAGCTCTATCCTTAAACTTAGTGTCAAGGAGTTGGTCACCCGGAGTTCAGAGACACCTGGCACCCAACACAGTTCAAATGAGGGCAAGTTATTGTTCTAACACCAAGGGAGGCTGTTAGGGACCACTGGCAACTGATGCATGGTTGTGACTCAATTCAGATTCTAGCCACTGGGTGCTTCCTGACCATATCCCACTCTGCTCCCCAGGCTAAACTGCCCCAAGAAGGGATGGCTTTCTTGGCAGCTCATAAGTAAACTCCTACAATGGTCCTTCAGATTTGTATAGTTGCTGTACTAATCCCTGTGCTTTGGGTAGAAAGAGCCAGAAAAATGAAGTCACAAACAGAAAAAAAAATTAGAAACAAAAACAGAGCAGCAAAGGCAGCTGGGGACAAAGAACACACTGCTATGATGGGTGTTCTGTTTGAGAAAATCAAGCCAGCTCTGATAAATGGCATCACATCAGCAGGGAGCCAAAGACTGAAGGATAAAAAGCACATAACCCGTGGCTATTTTTATTATTCAGTGTTTCTGGGACAGTTTCCTTACTGCATCTCAGTGTCACCCAGCTTCCTATCCCCGGCTCTTTACAACACCAAGGTGTGGCTGTTAAAGTGAGCCACAGAACTAGAAGACCCCTGACTCCAGCACTAGATCAGCCAACAAGAAAGCCCAAGACTTTCTTGGGTTCTAGTCCCCAGCTATACCCAAACCCCTGGACTCTCCTCTCCCTGAGCCATGTAGCTTTCCGAGCGTCATTATATCTCTTGTACTCTCAGACCTGGCAAGGAGGTCATCACCTTGCCTCATTCCCCCAGGCAGTTGAAGTGAGAGGAGATGGGGGAGGAGGGAGACAGATTTGTGGGTGCTTTCACTGCTGAGAGTTAACATACTTTATTGAGTGATCTGTTCATATGGGAGCACATGGCCTGAGCCAGAGAGAGACAGGACAGATTTGAGAGAGGCCTTTCATCCCAAGGCTCAACACTAACCCCTAGCCCCCCTCAACACACACACACACACACACACACACACACACACACACACACACTATTCCCAAAACCCTCATAGCAGAGAAACACCTGTTTCCTGTGAAGAGACAAATGAACAAAACATCTCTGCCCCCCCTTGTGTCAGATAACATCCATATTCAAAATATAACCCTGTAAAGAATGACACAATTGAATATATTACAGTTTTCCTGATAAAGTCCCAGAAGCTTCTTGAAGCCAATAAACACTTTAAGTAGTATTTGAAGAAGAACTGAATTGTATTTAATGAGTGTAGATGTAAATTGAAATAGCAGCCTGCAAGTACTGAATTGAACAGAGGCTTTCTAGAGTCTTCAAAACTCAGAAACACATGCAGGTCTGGGTGACGACTCCTCACTCCCAGCCCTTTCCCCTTCCACCTCCCCTGAGCCTGCAGAACTAGGGATCTAATCCTAGGGTGGCAGTGTGGAAAGACTCGCTCCAAGCTGTCCTGGTCTGCACCCGTGAGCTGTCCATCAGCATGGGACTCGAGCTCTTTTCTCTTCTCCCGTCCTGTGCCGCCAGGGGCCGCTGCGTGCAGGCTGAGCACCCCTCCTCCTAGCTTAAGGAGTTGGCAGAGCCCTGGGGGCCGGAGCAGCCTCGCGACCCCAGGCTAGGAGACAGTGGCTATGCGCTCCCCGACAGAGCTGCGCAGTCCCCGCCTGCAGGAGCGGAGCCCAGAGCGCCCCGGTGTCCGGAACCAATCACACCGGGCTAGGGATGCCAGCTTAGGTAGCACCCCGCGGTGCCCGCCGCGCAGCAACGCGGTCACAGACTAGGACAGCGCTTCTTAGGAAGGACAGCACGTAAACTTGGAGCGAGCTTTGCAGAGTCTTAATCCTTTGTGCAAAAGCAGAAAAGACCTCAAGCCAGCAAGTTGGATCATGAGGGGCAGGTAGGTCTTGGGTGTGGGGACCCAGAATTTGCAGGGCGCTGAATGGGGGCGGGAACAGGTGGGGAGAAGTCTCGGGTACTTCATTCGTCCACATCCTTACTCTCTTGCTGGTCTGTAGGCTGATCCATCAGCCTCACCCACAGTCTGCATTGGAGCTTGGGGCCAATGGGCTGGGAAACTAAAACAGAGAATGAAAGCTGATGAAATCCCAGAAGCATCTTTTCTAGTTCCGTTTAAGGGAGTGAACAGAATGCCAGACATCCTGCCTTCCCATGCCCCTCTCTATCCCAGGTGGATTGGATTGGAGCCTGTGACCGCTCAGAGAAATAGGATCTCCTAAGAGAACATCAATTTACATCTGTAATGGTCAGCATGAGAGTTCCTGAAGGCAGGCTACTCAGAAAACAGGCCCATCGTGATGGGTGGGAGTTGTCTGCCCATGGGCACACCCTTCCTGTGGGTGTTGGCATCACTTCTTCCATCTGCCATTACCCCTTTATGCCTGAGAGCTGGACACAGGATACTTTGTCTTTCCTGGGCCTCCTAGCCTGTGAGTTTTACTTCTGTCTCTGTTGGAGGTTGAACCAAGAGAGAAAAGGGAATAAAGAGGCTCTTGGGGTATTGTAGCCTCCGAGGCTCAGAAACTGTGGCACCCCCATTCTATTCCTGGAGGAGACGGGAATGACTGCAGAATTAAGCCAAATCTATTTGAGTCCTTGAAGCAATGGTTTGGTGGGGAGGGGCGGGGGAGGTAGGAATGATAAAGAAGATTCTCCCTAGTGGCCTCTTCCAGTGAGATCAGATGGATTCTGCTGAGAAACCCATCTTTGACCCTCAAGTCTGTCCCAAGACCAGAGAGATGACACCACTGATTCTTAGGCCTCACCCACCCCTGCTTTACTCCTAGGGCAGAGAAATTCCTGGCCACTTGTCTCAGGCTTGCCTGAGTCTGTAAGAACCCCTCATGTGCTTCAGGCAGAAAGACTCTGCCCTTATCCTGGGAATAGCTTCAGAACTGACTCTACTGGCGTGCCCAGCCCACCCCCTTCTCCTCTCCCAAACTTTCCTTCACCCTCTCTGGAGGCCTGGACTCTCTCTGTTCCTTACAATCCCTCAAAACTCTTTTCCACTTGTCAAGTCTGAGGCCAGCAGATGAACAAACAGAGGCTGAAACATCTCCAACAAGGTAAGTGGGGAAACAAAGATGGGAAGTGAGGAAGAGCAGAGGCAGAGAACAAGTCAGCATCTAAAGAATCCTAGCATTTGGGGTTTGGCTCCTTGTATTCCTGGGACTCTGTTGGCATTTGAGGTGGGGGAATGATTAGCAATGCTCACAGGAGGCTGGCAGTCCCCCCCTCCTCTAAGAGTCCACTCAGTCCTCCACTCTGACATAGGCTGAGGCAGTGACCCAAGCCAACCCTTGAGCTCAATCAAGGCCCCTGTTCCTCCCTGGCTCTGTGACTGGGCAGCTACTCTGTGTTTCTTCTTTCCTGGGATTCCTTAGTTTCTAATTTCGTTTTGGGAGGCCTGATTTGGTTTGATGGAGAATGGAAGAGAAGTAACGGAGAAGAACAGAGTCAAAGGGCAAAGGACTTGGGGAAGCTGCTGGTCTCTGGCCTCTGCTACCACTGCTGCGGGGTCTTAGGCCTATTAGCTTTTGTTTCATCCTCTTTAAATTTAATTTTTAAGTTTAACTTTTATTTAAATGGAATTGAACTGCGACTACATTCCTAAGGTTTGAAACTCAAATAGTATGAAAAATTGAGAGAAAAATAATCTACCTCTTGCTCTCAAATCCAGCCACCCAGTTTCATTTCTTAGTGGCAAACATTGTTGGCTTTGTGTACCCTTTCCAGAGGTAGTTTGTGCACATTAAACAACAGAGATAGCCCCTCCCCTTTATACATAACATTCTTTGTTGTTGTTGTTGTTGTTGGTTGTGAGTCTTGAACTCTGGGCCTGGGCATTGCCCCTGAGCTCTTTAGCTCAAGGTGAGCACTCTACCACTTGAGCCACAGTGCCATTTCTGGTTTTCTGGTGGTTAATTGGAGATAAGACTCTCACAGACTTTCCTTGCCCGGGCTGGCTTTGAACTGCATTCTCAGATCTCAGCCTCCTGAGTAGCTAAGATTACAGGCATGAGCCACTGGCACCCGGCTTACATAACATTCTATACATAACATTTTATATAACATTCTATACAGTTACTTTCCCCAACCCCTAGTTTGTGTGTGTGTGTGTGTGTGTGTGTGTGTGTGTGTGCTGGTACTAGGGTTTGAATTCAGGTCCTGGGTGCTCTCAAGGCTCATGTTCTACCACTTGAGCCACCTCCACTTCCAGCTTTTTAGTGGTTAATTGGAAATAAGGGTCTCATGGACTTTCTGTTTTGTTTTCGAATTGTGATTCTCAGACTCAGCCTCCTTAGTAGCTAGGATTACAGGTGTGAGCCATTAATGCCTATTTATTTTTTTAACAGTTGTGTGGAAAGGACTACATTTGTATAGCCTATACACTGCATCCAGCCAGTCCTTTACTGATGCTTCACCCATCTGTAAAATACACATAACAAGTCTGCTTTGTGAGATGATTATGAAGGATTTAAGATCATGCATGCGAAGTGTCTGGGTCAAGAGCTCAAAGAATGGGAGTCAGCAGCATTGTTCTGTTCATCACGTATCCTTCTAGTTCTTTCTCCCCAAGACCCATCTGAAATGTTATCTCCTCCACAGTCTCTCCCTCATTACCCCCAGGCCTCTGGTAGCACGTACTTTGTCCTACGCTGACTTCATTCCAGGCTGCAAGTTGCTGGGCACCAGGTATGCATCTTGCCCACCATTGTGTTTCCTGGAGGGCATGGCACGGAGGAGCCACCTGCCTTGAGCAAAGCAGGATATGCACTTCTTTCTACAGGATGAGTGAGAGGTTCCCATGGAACTGGAGCCCGGGTGGCTGGCTGCTGGCATTGTGCGTGGCCTGGCTGTGGACCCGCCTGGCCTCGGCTTCTCTGCAGCCTTCACCTGCCACAGGTTTGAGGGAGGTGTGGGGCTCAGAGAAGAGCTTCCCGGGACACCCTACCCCATTCCACATAGCAGGCAGATCTGAGGTAGAGTAAAACCCACAGATTTCAGGGGCTGACTCCTCTGATCATTACCCAGGACACTCTGTCCTCTTCTCCTCCTGGCCAGAGAAGGCCTGGGATGGCTCCTTCCAGGTTGGGAAGGTGTTCTGTAGCAAGAGAGAGAAAGAGGACCTTGCATGAGGGCTTAAGTCTAGCCTCCTGGCCTAATTCTGAGGTTTTCCTTCTGGGATGGCTAAAGCCTGTGTAAGCGGATGATCCCTTTCACGCATTGTAAGCCCTGGGGCCCTTTGCTCTAACCCTGAGAAAGCCTAAAGGTGGGGGCTGGTGTAGGACTCCACTTTCTTCTGCCTATAGACTAGGCTCTGACAAAGGGCGATTGATGAGTGTGGCCTTGCTAGGGAGGAAGAGGAAGGTTTCATTCACCTCCTCTACCTGGAAATCTTCCTGTCCCCTCTCCCCTTTCCACCACCTGATATTACTGAGCCTCAGCCCTGGGAATCTCTTAAATAGTGCCTCTCTCCCAAGCAGGGAGGATGTGCTTGAGGACCACCTGGTTTGGTGGGAGGGGTGCAAGTCTTGGGGCCTGATCTTGTGTGCCTTGGCCTCATCAGTCCTCGAAAAGCAGGGCACGTGTGAAGTAATTGCTGCTCACCGCTGCTGCAACCAGAACCGCATCGAGGAGCGCTCTCAGACTGTCAAATGCTCCTGTCTTTCTGGCCAGGTGGCTGGCACTACACGGGCAAAACCTTCCTGCGTGGATGGTGAGTAACCAGGGCCTGGCCGGTGGGTGGGGAGGCCCTGAGCAGAGATAAGGAGGTTGTGTTCAGGCCTTGCCATCTGTTGGGGATCCAATTTCATCCTCATCAGGGCTTTCATGATCAGAGTCTCAAATGGTGGGGCACCCTCTGAGGGACAGGAGGGCAGATGTGGCCATCTCTGTGTCATGGATGCAGAAAGCTCTTGTTACGGCCTCTGTGCCACTCTATCCACCCTCTGGCGCATGCACACATACGCATTCCAGTACTCCTCCAAAGGGGGCCCTCTTCCATGTGCTGCCTCTTCTCAGCCAGGCCTTTATCTTCTCATGAAGACACTGGATCCTGACCCCTGTTCTTACCTCTCCATCCATCCCCTGTTCACTGTGCTCATGCACGGCAGCTTGTACACTCCTGGACACAGCTCCCACACTTGCTTACATGCTGTACACCAGTGTGGGGAGGGATGCTGAAGATTATGCCTTTGTGTAAATGGTGTGGCTGCTTCCGAGGTGGCTTCTCCCACTTCCATCCCCCCTTGCTGTCTTTGACGCAAGGCAGATCCATGTGATGAAGCTCAGGCCTCTGCTTGAGCACAGGGCTGTCTTTCCAGACTCCCTAGAGTAAGGGGAAGAGAATGGAAGTTCAGGGCTCAAAGCCAAATGTATGCCTTTTTTCTGGGACCCCTCAGAACCTCTGCCGTGCTTGAAAAGAGCTTAGAACTGGTTTTCTGCCTCCTGCTCCCCAGCCTCCATTGTCCTGCAGAGGTGGTGGTGTCAGATGGAGCCCTGCCTGCCTGGGGAGGAGTGTAAGGTGCTCCCCGACCTGTCAGGATGGAGTTGTAGCAGTGGACACAAAGTCAAAACCACCAAGGTATCGGGATGGACACTTCATCTTCTTTCTTACTTGGGGGGCAGCAAAGGGGATTCTGAAGCCCTTGGGGGTCCAGGAGGACAGGGTCACTAGGTGAGATTTGTGAGCCACGACAATGTATCCCAAGAAAATCCCTCTGGATCTGTCCTGACTCTGGGAGGGCTTGACATCCAAACTCCAGTGTGTCTTTCTGGGAAAATTCTTGATGTTACATATGCTTTTGTTTCTTTCTCTGTGTGTTTGCCTTCAGAAACTGCCAGGTGTAGAAAGACAAAGTGGAGGCAGGTGTTGGTGGTACATGCCTGTAATCTCAGTACTCCAGAATCTGAGGCAGTAGAATCCTAAGTGACCCAGAGAGTTACAGGCTAGCGAGGCTACAGAGTGAGACCGTGACTCAACAAACCAAAACAAGAATTGGGGAAATTGCCTAGATAATTCAGGAAAGTCTCTCTCCAGCCTGAATCCCACTACAGTAGCCAGCTCTGTCTGTTGCTACCTCTGCCATGGATTCTCATCCATGATGATCAGCTTCCTGAAGTTTAGACCTATCTTTCTCTAGTCAAATTGCTCTGTCTTCTGTGACAGCACTCAAGAAGAATATTTTCATGGTTTGCTACCTGCCCCACAAAACAAGGTGTAATTAAAATTTTATCAAACTCTTCAACAATTCCATGCGTGTCATGGTTAATTAGTTGCATTATGTTGTTATTACCATGTATACAGAGGAGTGACACTCCAGGACAAGCCATGGCACAGCTTTTCTTCCCCACAACAAACACAAACAAACAAAACCAGAGAAGAAAAGCGCAGGATCCAGGGTTCTGAAGAAAGCAGTGATTTTTCTAAAGCACAGAACAAAAGCAGTTGTAGCAAGAAAAAAAAAATCAACTGGATATAAAGCAGACTATCTGATCTGTATTTAGGGAAGAGAAACAGGCATTCGGAGTGTATTTAAGGCTAGAAGAGAGTGAGGCCCAGCATAGAGGTTAGAACATTTGTTATCCTGTTATAGATCTGGGCTTGTAGCCTGAAAAGTGAATGGCTATGTTTGCCATTTGTGTAGTGAGTCCAGTTGTGAAGCATTTTGGTTTGTGTTTATATAGGCTCCCAGGCTCCCTTTCCCAACTTGAGCTTCTTTAGGAAGAGACAACCAGGATGAATGACCTTCTCAGTGACTTGCATTTCATGGGGGAGTCTCTGCATGCTGGGATTACCCCCAATGACTTCTCTAACCTTTATCTACCCTATCACTTGCTCCTTAGGTCACCCGATAGCTCTTGTGGGGAATCATGGCTGGATGGAGTCCTAGACTGAAGAACAATATCCAGTTTTTAGCCAGCAAACATGGGATTCACTTACCTGAACATGGGCTCCATGCCACATGTAGCATCTGTCTTTCCTGGGTATTTCAGTACTGTGAAGAAATGGATGGATTTGAAACCATATACCTGGGGATCTGTGTTCTCTTGGAGACAAATAATGTCAAGATACCATTCCTGCCCTTGAGAAATATCCAATCAAGTTGGAGAGTGAATGACAGACAACTTAGACTTTAAATGTATGGTACACTGACTTCTGAGCCACCTGCTGTGGACATGGTGAAGTTTTGAGGCTGAAACTCCCATAGTTCTTCAGCCAACCCCTGGCCACAGGGCACAAAGACTTAGATGTCATAGTCTTCTTCCTTGCATCCTATCCCTCCAGGCAGTCTTGAATCTCCAACAAGCTGCTAACACCTTATAGGAAACACTGATCCAACCGTAAACCAGGCCAGTAGGATCTCATTTAGAAGAGATTGGATTGGCTTAGGAGTAGGAAAGCAAAGATGAAACTACACAGCTCTCCAGCCAAACATCGAGAGGAATGGCCTAGTTTGGGCTGTTCACTGAATGAGTGACAGATAGGACCTTCCCGACCCCAACACCTTAGGTTTTTGTTTGCTTTTTTAACATGAGGAAACAGAGTCATAGAATAATGAGTGATTTGCCCCAAAGCTCATAGTTCCCACATCTCTTAAGACTGGCACTTAGTCTAATGTGGATATTAGGATTTCAGTTTGGGCCTTCCCTCTATTTTTTTCAGGTATTAAACCCTGCAAAGTATTGACTAGTCAGGAGCAGTATTTATCTTGAGAGATGCTCAAAATGGGTCTTTGGTCAAGATCACAGTTCGATTAGAACTCGTTCAGAATGCCCCTCAAGGATGTGGAGATGCTTGATTTCTACTCTTCCCTTAGTACCCAAATTCTAAATAAGCCCCATGACAGCCCAGAGGTCCCTCAGCCCAGTTACAGTTATGGTCTCTGAGCTGTCATCCCAGTACCCTGCCAGGACTCATTTTTTTCTGGAGCCTTTGTGTTGTAACACTCAGAAGCATTAGATCAAGGAGAGTTGGGGTGTGTAGGTCTGCACCCCTTTCCTACAGAGGCCCTGCTCAGCAGGGGGAGTGGTAGGTTAGACCTCTGGCAAGGATTAAGGCCAGAAGTCAGGCTAGTATTCCAGGTGGTATAGGGACAATGCACTGTCTTACAGGAATTTTCATGGCCTTAGGGATTAGGGGGTCATTAGAGACCTGGATGGTGCTGAATTCTGTCCTTCAGAGAAGCCCATCGGATGATGGTGTGGAGCCGAGTCTCTCTCCTTCCCTTTGTGCCTTCTTCCCCATGCAGTAGACCCAAGGCTGATATCTCCTTTCTTCACCCCACCCTGCTGAACTTTCTGGTTTTTGTTTTTGTTAATGGAGTGAACAGTGGTCCAGTTTCTCACTGAACTAGAAATGTTGAAACTCCAACGAATAAAATCACTGCTCATAGATGACTCATGGGGTTGGGTAGCCAAGGAGAGGGTTAAAGGCTCCTTTTGTCTCCGTCAACACTGGAGAATGGAGGTTAGAGGAGAGACAAATGGATTGGCAAAGCTTTTCTGTAAAGAGCCTGATAGTAAATATTGTACGCTTTGCAGACCATGTAAGTCCTTGTTGCACAGTCTTCATTGTTACTGGTTTTCCTTTCATTTTGTTTCAGAAATCTCTCAGAAATGTAAAATCCATTCTTAACTTAAAATCAGATTCTAGCCCCTTTTCAGCAAGTTGTCAACCCCAGGGAACCTTTCAAGTCCTGAGATGGCCTCCAGCTTCCCAGCCTGCCCCAAGTGAAGGAGAAACCTGAGCTCAGGGTTGGGACAGGTTTTGTTTTTCTCATAATGCTCCTTGAGAGATAGGCAAGTGAATTATTTAGGCTACAAATGAGACAGCTTTAGCAATCCAACTAAAAGCCTGCTTGCTGTCCTGGAGGCTGGAATGTGGGCTTCTCTGTTTCTCCCTGTTCTGGAGATCCTGTCCTCCTGCTCATCCGTATTATCCACACGAGCTAGAGATGAGCCTGAGAGCATGAGAACCATGCTGCATAAACTCTCCTGAGCTGCCAGCTCCAGGCTAGCTCCCCACAAGCCCTACCTCCATCAACATCCTGGCTCTTACCTTCCCTGAGCACCCACATTTCCACTTCCAGAGTGACATAGGATCACTCACTGATTTAACTCCTCAGAGCCTCATTCCCTCCTGACCTATTCATATTTCTTTGGTGAACTTTGGGGTTGGGTATTTCTTACATGGTGAGAAAAGCCTCTCACAGAAGAGGGTCTGATGAGAAGGGCAACAAGAGTTGTTCCCTGAGTTTTGCTTTACAATGGAATCAAAGCTGTAGGTTTTCAAGCGATTACAATGGCAAACAGACAAAGTTCCTAGAAGTGCTGGTCTTCCTTTTCTTCTGTTGGTGATGGGATCTCAGAGCCTTTGAAATTGCTGCTCCTCCCTCCCCTCATCTGTGCAGGTCTTAGGGTGGTTACATTCTGCAGATCAAGTGGCCAGCTTCTACTGGCCTCCTGGCAGTTCTTTTCTTTTTTTCTTCCTTCCTTCCTCCCTCCCCCCCTCTATCTCCCTCTCTCCTTCTCCCTCCCCCCTCTAGGTGGCTTAAAATCAGGGCCTCATGCTCTTGCTTGGCTATTGCATTCAAAGCTGGCGCTCTACCACTTGCGCCACACTTCCACTTCCATGTTTTTTTTGATGGTTAATTGGAAATGAGTCTAACAGACTTTTCTATCCCATCTGGCTTCAAATTTTCATCCTCAAGTCTCAGACTCTTAACAAACTAGCATTACAAACATGAATTGCTAGCACCTAGCTTTTCTGGCAATTTTATTAAAGTTTTTTGGGTGATATCCTAGTCTCTTGGGGTTAAGGCTGCAGCTTTCTGAAAATCAAAAGCTTATAGTCAGAATGATTTTAGGTGCCATATTTGATAGAGAAAATGGCTCAGAGAGGTTAGGTAATGTGCCTAAAGTGACACAGCAAATTGGTGACATGTACTGCCCAATAACACAGATAACTTGTTCTTTTCACTACTGCACATCATCTCTAGCCTCAGAACAGATGAAACCCTCGAAAGAGGCCAGATTACAGTATAGATGAATGTTAAAGTGTCATTTTAGAATCATCCAATGCTATAAGTACAAGGGACAGAAGAGAGAATCGTACATTGTATAAATACCAAAAGAGGAAAGAAGACAAGAAGGAAAAGTTGATATTATTTAGTTAGACCATCAAAACACCAACACAGGGCTGAGGGTATGACTCAAGTGGTAGAGTGCCTGCCTAGCAGCATAAGATTGTGAATAGTTTTTTTTCTCTCTCTCTTTCTCTCTCTCTCTCTCTCACACACACAGAGTAAAATATTAAAAACACTGATGTACATAAAAAAGTGATTGACCTTTCTGAAGAGGACGAATGGAGCCCTACCATCTTTTGGCAGGCCTGGAGTATGGTACAATCCAAGCATGGGCAAGGCTGAGGCAGGATTGTGAGTTGCAAATCAGCCTGAGCTATGTACTGAGACTGTCTCCAAAACAAAACAAAACAAACCAAAAAACAGCCCTGAGTCCCCTACAATCCTACTACTCAAGGAGACTGAGATCTGAGGCTGCAGTGTGAAAAAGACAAATCTGAGAGACTATTTTCACCAGTCAGCAAAAAGTCAGGTGGAGGTGTGGCTCAAGTGGTAGAGTACCAACCTTGAGTGAGAAATCTGAGTGCTGCCTCCTCCTCCACTTCCTCCTCCTCCTCCACTTCCTCCTCTTCCTCCCCTCCACCTCCTCTTTGTATTAGGTCATAACCCAGGGTCCTTGAGCTCTTGTTTGTCTTTCTTGTTCTCAGCTAGTGCTCTACCACTTGAGTTATGCCACCATCTCGGTATTTTGTTGTTTAATTAGATGGAGTCTCATGAACCTTTCTGTCTGGGCTGGCTTTGAACCACAGTTCTGCAGTTCTCAGCCTTTTGAGTAGCTAGGACTACAGGCATAAGCCACTAAGTGACGGGCTGGTTTTTGGGTTCTTTACACTGTTTTGGGTTCTTTCACTGTTTTGTTTTTGCAAATAAAGTTTTATTGAAACATAACCATGCTTATTTGCTTATTATTTCTTACTTTGGAGGGGGGCAGTAGAGGGAATTGAACCCAGGGCCTCTCTTTTGCCAGCCAAGTGCTCTGCCACTAGACCTATCCAGCCATCCCACCTATGCCTACTTTTGTGCTACAATAGCAGAAGTGAATCATTGTGAAGAGCCCAAACAGCCCACAGAATCTAAATAATCATCTGACTTCATGTGGAAAAAATTGGTAGCAATTTCCACACCTGTGGTAAATGATTACATTATATTTCTGCATTTATAGTCTTTTTTGCCTGTGCTTGTGGCTTGTGTTCCCTTCAATCCCTTCTAGTGCCATTTTGTCACTTCTTTGTGTGTGTGTGTGTGTGTGTGTGTGTGTGTGTGTGTGTGTACGCGCGCGCAGGCGCAGGGGCTTGAACTCAGGGCCTGGGTGCTACTCTTTTTCTCAAGGCTAGTGCTTTATTATTTGAGCCACAGCTGGACTTCTGGCTTTTTAGTGGTTAATTGGACCTAACAGACTCATGTCCTTTCTTGTCCAGGCTGGCTTCAAACCACAATCCTCAGATCTCAGCCTCCTGAGTAGTTAGGATTATAGGTGTGAACTACTGGCCCCTGGCTTTCACTTGTGATATCTAACAACCAAAGAAATGAAGACATAAAACCTGTAATTGGTCAAGAAAAAGACCTGGCGCAGATGGATGCTTCCCTAATAAGTGATCGTAGCTCTTTTTGGATCAATTCATATTTTCTCAGTTTATGTAACTGCTACCTTTGAATTTAAGGAGGACAAGTGTGCAACCACATCTAAAAATGTACTATACATGTATGTTTGCTGCTCAAGTTTCTGTGTGTTGGTGGATTTGAGTCTTTCCACATCCATAAGCCATATGCATTAAAAAT